CAGGATTTGATGCAGCAACGTGTTTAGTTTATCAACAACTTCGATAACAAAACTAAAAGCAAGGTGGATGCAGAATAGATGGTAGTAGAACACTGTTTAAAGCAGAAAGTCGAGAGAGAGAGAGAGAGAGAGAGAGAGGATGATTTTGGGCAAAAATTCGAGAAAAAAACTGATGAATTTTGGTGTAAATTTTGAGGTGGTTTAACACAGTATTTATACTTGTTAAGCCATCCTATGATCACGCCTATATCCCCCAAAAATCGGGATCAGGAAGAGACCAAGTCTCTAACCGATTTCACACATTTTTAATTTGATTTATCCGATTTTAAGTTTATAAAATAAAAAGATAAGTCATGAATTACTCAAACAGATAATTAACAGTTTATAAATAAAAAGTAAGTATCTATCTCTCTCTAATTTGTACCAAAAAGATACTCGGAAGCTTGGCGCGAGGCTCCTTCTGCTCCGATGCGGTGTGCGAAGTGCAAAGTGCGCCTCCTCGCGCCACTTTCGTGAATCCCGCGCCTGCTCCCTCAGCCACGCGCGCACATGTGTGTTGAACCTTCCACTCATGACCTCCACGATGAGTCCACAAACTTGTTCAAAGCCCAATTGAGAGGAAAGTCTTATAAGGCTCTTTAAAATCGTTCTATCTACCGTGAAGATCTCGATTCAACATCACTTCAAACAGGTTAGTTTTAATTTTTCGTGTATTGCATTTACCTTTCTATTCACTAAATGGACAACTCTGCTTCTACTCCTTTCTTTCATTGAATCTATCGCGGAGGATAAATTCAATCAGTGTGGAGGATAAGGCCGGATTTTAGATCGTTCTCACACACTCTTGTGAAATGGAGACCCCCAAGTAGAATGTTCGACAACTGCTCATTTCGAATGAAATCATTAAAGTCTAAAGAGGATTTGGATTTAACTGTGAATTCATCCTTTCATCTACACACCGCACCTCGTTAAAATCCCCGAATAGGCACCATACTGTATTTGAGTAGGAACTCATAGCCTCATTCAACCGATTCCATTGCTTGTGAAAGAACACACAAAAAATGTTTATGTACGAAACAAACTCATACGCACTTACAAGAATAAAACATATGAAAACAATGTGAATCATAACTTAAAATCAAACTCAATGAATGATATTTACGAGGGGTTGCTATTAATGCACCCCAATTACATACACCTGGTTCTTACCCTCTTTATCTCACTCACATAACCCCTATAGGAGGGATATGAATAAAATTTAACCTTCACGAGTTTGTAATGTATATTGTGTTTAAATTTGACCATTGATATATATATATATATATATATGGAAGGGTTCAAATGAGAACACCCCTATTTTACAACAATGCGAGAACACTTCTCTGCCTCCAAATTGGAGACTTATTATGTCGATCCGTTCATTGTTGAAAATAATGTGATAATGATTGATTTTACCGTGATAATAATTTGATACATTGAAGACTTTTTATGATGTGATAATCATCTAATAGTTATGTCATTTTTGTTGTGATAATATTATGATAATCGAAAATCAAGATGATCACGTCTACATTCAACGCTATGTCTGTTCATTATGTGATTTTCCTGTGATAAAATATGATTATTATTTGACACCAGTTAACATATTATATGTATATGATTTTAGAGATAAGGATATCAGAAAATTACAAATAAATACAAAATCACATGATTATCCATAATTAAATTACTTTAATTATGGGTTAAATAATTTTGGAGGCCCATAAATGTTCTCATATTCTCGTAAAACACACACACACACACACACACATATATATATATATATATATTTACTTTAATTATGTGTTCTCCTTTGAACACACACACACACACACACACACACATATATATATATATATATTGAGAATTGGTAAATATTTGAGAAGTAAAGAAGTGATTCTAGCTTTTTATACCATCAAGATCATATTTGATTGATCAAGAATTGCAGTTTTAATTGGTCAAAATTTGTGACTTTGTAAAAAATAGAAGGGCTAGTTTTGTAACCTTTTCAAATATGATACAAACAGGTTCATATGTGAACATGTATAATTCACATATGATTATATGTAAATGTGTAATTTATATATGAACTATTTTAATTGATTCACATGTGAATCTCTTATGATTTACATATGAACTGATGAACTTATGAACCCGCGTGACTCATATATGAACTAATTAACGGGTTCACATATTAACCTATAATTCATATGTGAATCACACGAGTTCACCATCAACCCATTTATCACCTATTTGTAAAAGTTACGGAACTACTTATTCATCTTCCGCATACCTATGCAATGAATTATTGATATTTCACATTCAAAGGCACAAATGTTAACCAGATGAGGTGTCAAGATCATTTTTTTACTTCTCAAATATTTATCACTTATCAAATGAACTTTTCCCTATATACAAATATTTATATATATAATTTACAATTAAAACTAATTAATCATTTGAAATTAGTATTAGTTAACAATTAAAATTAATCAATAGTTAACTAACAAAAAT